GGGGAGGGTAGGTGAGATGAAAAATCATTCCCGCTCCTTCCCCGAAGAGACTGTCTTGAATCCGCCCACGGTCCGTTACCAACTTGCTTCCAAGCAACCGCGGGAAAAGAGGAATCCCTTGATAGCTTTGTTACTTCTCGACGCTTCTACCTCTCGTCGATAGCGAGCAGGGAAGGGATTTTGACTTTCTACTTTTCTGTTGCACTTCCCTTTTTTTCTTCGGACAGGTCTCATTGATCTGTTCTGCTGATCTGCTTCATTTCGTTATTGCGTTGTTTAGTTGGGAACAAGGCGGATGATCCAGAACGAAGAGTGGTACTGGAAGCGGATGCTCGTAGATTTGCAGAAACAATGAGAATTCCATTTTTTGAAACGTCTGCCAAAGAAAATTTCAATGTCGAAGAGGTACGTACAAATTTCACTTCGAAAAAAAAAAAAAAACTAGCCGTTGCTATCTGATAAGGATGTCGTGGCACTATAGACCGATGCACTGCCTCCTTACTTTCTGTATGTTTTCGTATTTGGTCTAAAACTGTTCCACAAACCTGAGCGATTATAACATTTTCTATAAAATACGCTGATTCAGTTTTGGTTGAATGTTTTGAAATATTAATATTTCAAATTTTTAAGTGGTACAGATTTATCAGCAAATTTACCAACAAAAGAATATCGGTAGTAAAGACCCAGTCACTCAGAGCATCTGCTTGTGTTAGCTTGAAGATTGAGGCGCATATTCAGTCCCTAATGTGAATGATTTACATCTTTTATCTTAATTAATTTATACACTATAGTAAATTATCTTATTACCACAGTAGTCGTACTGACGAGGTCCAATTGTGGTAACGGTAAGAAATGTATACGACTTAATCGACCGAAACATTTCTTACCTATAACAAATATTTCTTTAGACCCTTTACCTATTTTAATATCCTTTTCCTCCTTTTCATTGTTTCCTTCTTCTGATATTTTCTTTTTTACCTTTAATACGTAGTTGTCGACTTCTTCACAATACATTTTTTGAGGACGAAATTTTAAAGAGTACTAAATAAACATAACAAATCGGTGGGGATTTTGTGTCTTCATGAATTTCTTCACACAAAAAGAAATTTCAAAATTTGAATTTCTTTATTTTTTTTTATTTTCCTTCAATTCAAATTTTTTATTGCAGATGTTCAACTGTATAACTCGATTAGTGCTGGAAGCAAAACTCCGAGCGCCTCAGCTAGGTGCAGGAGAAAGTGGTGTACGACTTGGTGTTTCTAGTCCTAGACGGCAAGAAAAGAAGAAATGTTGTAGCTGAAGCTTTGGATAAGTTATGTCTAAAAAATGCATTTTTCCATCTTTGTTCTGAAGTAAATCAGAACATTTTCTGTAATTTAAATAAAGAGACGATGGAAACACCAGGAAGAATATGTGATAAAGATCTACTGTTACGGTTTTGCGGGGTATTTCGTTTACTGATTTACTCATTAGTGAATAGGAATATCTGAAATTTCATCTTTTCAAGCTTCTAAAATGCTTCTCAATTCAAAATCACTAAAATTTTGGCTTTTTAGGCATTATTGACAAGCAAATGATTGCCTTATTATTAGGTATTTGTAAATAAAAAAAGAATTTGGAGCACGCAGAAACACCTTTTTTTGCTTCTTTCATGAAGTTTTGAGTTCCAAAGAACTCAAAAAACGCTTGTAACTCAAGAAAAGTTTGTTTCGTCAAATTCTAGTATTGCATGAGAATTTTTTCGTGATCGTGGAAGATAGTTATTTTTTTTTCAAGCGTAGCTTCATTTTTTTTCACTGTAATTTTCTCAAGCATAGCTTCATTTATGTTTTTAATGTAAATTGCGCTATTCGTGGTAATACGAAGTGCATATAAAATAGCGTATAGCGAGCACTTCGCTGTCTATGCTCTTTCCTTTTTTTTGCTAATCGGCATAAGTTCTATTCATCTTTTGAAGAATGCTTATTGGTCAGTGAAAAAATTTGTACGGCCTAAATAGTGGTCAGTGAATTTTGTACGACCTAAATACTGGTCATTTTTTAAAGAAAAACATTGGTGGCTACTATCGTATTTGGTAAAATTTGCCATGAAACTTCAACCATTAAGCACCACAGGTTCTGATTACTTCTGACCATGAAGTATCAAGGATGGCAGGCTAAAAATTCGATGAATTTTTTTTTTATTTTAAGCCCCAAATTTAGTCGTTTACCAGTTTGTCCATGCCAAATTTGGTGCATTCCAGCACCAGGACGTAGTAGATTACAGTTGTAGTTTATAAATTTTATTGTACCAGTAATTACTCGAAATTTATCTAGTCGGTATCTGAGGATCGAGGGTCCGGCTTAGCTGCTCGTGGCATGTGAAAGCATCCCAGTAACATTACTAACATGAGATACCCATGATTATCCAGGTGGTCTTGGTATTCTTGTGACAAAATTGTTTAAACTGAAAGTGCGAAGGAAATTGAGCGGGGTTGCCCAGCCGATTTGCCCTTCGATGTTTGCACTGGGTCTATGAATCATAGATTTGAGATTGAGGGAAAAATTTTGGGCAAACTTAGACCAAACCACAACAATCTGTAGAAGTCGTAGTAAGAGTCTTGTCAAAGTACTAAGTAAATCTTCATGCTACAGAATCTCAAATGTACGTGTGCTAAAAATTACGACCAAATGCGACGGGTTTTAGTGATGAACGTCTTTTTTTTTGTTTCTGTTCGAAATCCTTATCAGAATTTATCCTTGTCAATTCTTTCCTCTATCGCTTGTCTTTCCCCCAACCTCTTCTTTC